AATGGGTCGTTATTGGTAGGAAATTAAGTGATTGGTAGACGTGGACAACGGAGCCAGTATAGGCTGGTATATTAATTTTGGGCTTTAGGTTGGGTTTCAAGTTAAACCTTAAATCCAACTAATTTTGGGCTTTAATGGTGCCTTAGTTGGGCATTTTTTAAGCTTTAATTGGTCTTCATTTTTTTTTTTTTTGGTTTCCCGTCAGGTATCCGGGGCTTCATCCCGACTAATCCGGATTGATCCGCGTCGCGTACTTAGAAATAATGGATGAATCTCCCAACGAAGACTGCTGCATTCACAAGGTCTCGAACTCGAGACCTTACTTAAACTGAAACAAGTCGCTTATCACTTGATTCAACCCTCGTTGGTAATTGATCTTCATTTTTAAATTGTCTAAAGATTGCCCCTGACGGAGCTCATGCTTATGTTTCTTCTGGATTTGTGCCTTGCACTTTTTGCCGGTGTTGGACTACTATCCCAGTTAGAGAAAATTCATCTTATCTTACGTGCACAACATAAGAATATTATTATTATTATTGTTATTATTATTAAGAGCAATGCTAGCTGCACTCACCTTTCTCCAGCACTCTCCAACACTCTCTCATCTAAAATGTCCACGTAACAAACTTTGGCTCGCAATTTAAAGTTTCCATCTAAAAAGTTCACGTGGCTATTTTAGATGAGGGAGTGTTGGAGAGTGCTGGAGAAAGGCGAGTGCAGCTAGCATTCCTCTATTATTAATGTTGTATTTACAATATTACAAGTAAATTCATAATTGAATATTTAGATATATGAGTAGCAAAATAACTAAGAGAATCAAAATTATGATATGATCTTTACAGTCAAAAATTTTATTAAGAAAAGAAAAAATATCAATTACTCCGGTCAAAGAAAATATCAAAACAATCAAACATATATAATGGGTTAATTTTCTATGAAAGGTATGTAGTTAAAGAGATGTCTCGAAGAAGAATTGAATGAGATATATGACAAAAACATCTTATCACCTTTTAGTCAATTTCTTATTGCCCAACAAAAGGAGCAAAACATAATTGACGTTGATTTCTTTCTTTAGGAAAACCAAAAAAGAAGGAAATATCAAGAACTGGCTACGTTAGTCATTGTGAAAGGAAATATCAAAGGAGAAAATTTCTAAAACATAATTGAAGTGGGACAGTGTGCCTCGACAATCACTTCATCTCTCAACATTCCTCTTTTCTTATTCATAATTTAATTATATTTATATTGAAATTTCTTGGAAACATCCTATTATCATTAGTCGTTGTAAAAAAATGAGGTAACATTTAAGATAAATATAAGATAACATTTTATATTAAAATTGATCAATAAGACAAGTGGTAAAATTCTTACCAAATAAACTTTAACCCTTCTGGTTTTATTGATCAATCAATTAATAAATTTTTTGGTAATAAATATTTTTTTATTATTTAATTATTATAATGTTACTTTTATAATATTACAAATAAATTCATAATTAAATATCTAAATATATGAGTAACAAAATAACTAAGAGAATAAAAATTATGATATGATCTTTTTGGTAAAAAATTTTACTAAGAAAAAGAGAAGTATCAATTGCTCCAGTAAAAAAAATATCAAAAAAATCAAACATATATGATGGGTTAAGTTTTTTTGTAAGGTATGTAATTAAAGAAATTCTACAGGAAAAAATTGAATAAGATATATCACAAAAAGATTTTATCACCTTTTAGTCAGTTTCTTATTGCCCAACAAAAGGAGCAAAACATAATTGACATTGATTTCTTTCTTTAGAAAAACCGAAAAAAGAAGGAAATATCAAGAAGTGACTACATAAGTCATTGTGAAAGGAAATGTCAAAGAAGAAAATTTCCAAAACATAATTGAAGTGGGACAATGTGCTTTGACAATCACTTCATCGATCTCTCAGCATTCCTCTTTTCTCATTCATAACTTAATTGTATTCCCAATTAAATTTTGTGGAAACATCCTGTCATTATTAGTTGTCGTAAAAAAATGAGGTAACATTTAAGACGAGTATAAGATAACATTTTGTATTAAAATTGATCAATAAGACAAGTGGTAAAATTCTTTATCAAATAAACCTTAACACTTCTGGTTTTTTTGATCAATCAATTAATATTTTTTTTTGGTAATAAATATTTTTATTATTTAATATTTATAATGTTACTTTTATAATATTACAAAAAAAATTTATAATTAAATATCTAGATATATGAGTGGCAAAATAACAAAGAGAATAAAAATTATGATATGATCTTTACAGTTAGAAATTTTACTAAGGAAAGGAGAAGTATCGGTTACTCCAATCAAAGAAAATATCAAAAAAATCAAACATATATGATGGGTTAATTTTCTTTGAAAGGTACATCGTTAAAGAAATGTTATGGGGAAGAATTGAATGAGATATATCACAAAAATATCTTATCACCTTTTAGTCAATTTCTTATTGCCCAACAAAAGGAGCAAAACATAATTAACGCTGATTTCTTTCTTTACGAAAACAAAAAAAGAAGGAAATATCGAGGATTGGCTACATTAGTCATTGTGAAAGTAAATGTCAAAGAAGAAATTTTTCAGAATATAATTGAAGTGGGATAGTTGCTCCAGTCAAAGAAAATATCAAAGAAATCAAACATATATAATGGGTTAATTTTTTTTTAAAGATATGTAGTTAAAAAAATACTACAAAAAAGAATTGAATGAGATATATCACAAAAACATTTTATCACTTTTTAGTCAGTTTCTTATTACCAAACAAAAGGAGCAAAACATAATTGATATTGATTTCTTTCTTTAGAAAAACAAAAAAAAAAAAAAAGAAAAAAAAGAGAAGGAAATATCAAGAATTGGCTACATTAGTCAATGTGAACGGAAATGTCAAAAGAAAAAAATTTCCAAAACATAATTGAAGTGGAATAGTGTGCTTTGACCGTCACTTCATCTCTCAACATTCCTCTTTTCTCATTCATAATTTAATTGTATTCACAATGAAATTTCGTGGAAATATCCTATTATCAATTAGTCATTGTCATAAAAATGAGGTAACATTTAAGACGTGTATAAGATAACATTTTGTATTAGAATTGGTCAATAAGGCAAGTAGTAAAATTCCTTAACAAATAAACTTTAATCCTTCTAGTTTTAATGATCAATCAATTACTAATTGTTTTGGTGACAAATTTTTTTATTATTTAATATTTATAATATTACAAATAAATTTGTAATTAAATATCTAGATATATGAGTAGCAAAATAATTAAGAGAATAAAAATTATGATATGATGTTTATGATCAAAAATTTTATCAAGGAAAGGAGAAGTATCAATTGCTCCGAACAAAAAAAATATCAAGGAAATTAAATGTATATGATGAGTTAACTTTTTTTTGAAAGGTACATTATTAAAAGAATACTATAAAAAAATTAAATGAGATATATCACAAAAACATTTTATCACTTTTTAATTAATTTTTTATTATCCAACAAAAAAACATAATTGACGTTAATTTCCTTCTTTAAGAATACCAAAAAGGAAGGAAATACGGAAGACTGACTACATTAATCATTGTCAAAGGAAACGTCAAAGAAAAAACTTTTTAAAACATAATTGAAGTGGGATACTGTGCTTTGACGTTCACTTCATCTTTAAGGATTCCTTTTTTTTCATTTATAATTTAATTGTATTTATAATGAAATTTCGTGAAAACAATCTATTATTATTAGTTATTGTCTGAAAAATAAAATAACATTGAAGATGAGTATAAAATAACTGTGTATCAAAATTGATCAATAAAATGAGTAGTAAAATCCCTTACTAAATAAGCTTTAACTCCTTTGGTTTTATTGATCAATCAATCAACAATTTTTTTAGTAATAAATATTTTATTATTATTATTATTTAATAGTTGTAATGTTACATTTGTAATATTATAGTAAAATTTATAACTAAATATCTAGATATATCAATAACAGAATAACTAAAAGAATAAAAATTAGGATATTGTTTTTGTGATAAAAAATTTTACCAGAAAAAAAATTCAATTGATCCAGTCAAAGAAAATATCCAAAAAGATTAAACATATATTATGGGTTAATTCTCTTTTAATGGTCCAAAGCATAATTGAAGTGGGGTAGTCGGCTTTTCGTCAATCATTCAAATTAGAGGCATAGAGCAGGTAAAAGATAAGTACTACTAGGTGTGAAAGAAAAAGTACGAAATGGAAATATCACATAAAGGTAGTTGCGTTCGTTAAGCAACTGTCCGTATGCGTGGACGTGCTGCAGTCGTCTACGGTCTACATCTCAGGGCCAGCTTATGAACATCAGCCTTACGTGTTAGGGCCACCACAATTCTTTCTTTTATTTTTTTAAATTACTAAGTTATACATTCAATTTAAGGATAAATATATATTTTCACTTTTCATCTGAATGGGTAAATAAATAATTTAGAAAAAAAAAATGGAATCCTGGCGGCCTTTAACACTTGAAAGTTAAAAGTTAGTGGCCTTGCCAGGGCCTATATCTCATAATCGACATCTCCTTCTAAAATTTAATATAAGTAAAAATATTATTTTCTCTATTTATCTTTAATCAATTTTGTTTAATTTTTTAATTTTTAAAATATAAATTTTTGATAAAAATTTAATAACATATATAAATAATAATTGAAAAAAATTTTACATGTAATT